GAGAAAAAGAACCGTGGCCAGATGGTTAACGCTTAAAACACGCATTGGGGCTGCGCGGCGGACACTTCCTTGCCCTAAAACCCTCTCAGAAATGAGGGGAGGCCTGTGCCCAGCAGTGGGACGTATATAGGCTGTAACTTTATAGCATTGTGTTACCATTTATACCAATGACAAATCGGACTGAAGTTATAGCACGTACGGAAAACGCATATCGCAACATTTTTTTTAATCTCTACCGGCGGGTTGAGTACAGATATCGACAGTATTTTTTTAATAGGAAAAGGGTGACAAGCGAGCACACAGTCCACCTGATTGTAAGTGGTTGCTGTGGCTCATAGACATCTACATCTATCCTCGTTTGCAAATCAAAATGAAGATGCGTTGTCAGCCTTGCGGAGTAAGATAGAATGCCTCTTTTTCAGTAAAAAGGGTCTCCGGTTCTCTACACTCACCATACGAACACAGCAGCTTTAAGCTGCTATTTGACGCTGGTATTCTGTGAGAGAGTGGTCCTACCATGGTCGAGCCTACCCCTCGTGCAACAACTATACAATTAATATAGCTGCAGCATGGCTCTACCACTAAACGTGTGCCACGTGTGCGAGCGAGAGATAAATAGAAGCGACGCCATTCTCAGCCCCATTTTTTAACCGCATGAGTAGTACCTATTTGTTTATGTTTCGTAGTGTGGTCAAGGTTTCGACAGTTTGTGTTAGTATTACGGCGCCTCTACACGTTGGCCAACACAGTGGCGAATGTAGTGGCCAATAGCATTGGCCAACGTGTAGACGGGGTGTTTGGGCTTCATTGGTATGTATTGGAACGATGGCCCGCAAGTTGGCGCGAGATTCGTGTGGTGTCGGTTTTTTACAAAAGATCAAAGGATTGTTGGCAGAGTTTGGTCGCCGCGTCCACACGTTGGCCGCGAGTTTAGTTTGCTACAAGCTCCCAGAGTGATTACACGCATCTGATTAAAATTTTATATTCACGCTTTGTAGGGTGGATGACCCATTTACCAGCCTTTTTAGTGCAATTTCCACTTTAAACATTCCTACTACTTTAATTAGCGTGATTTAATTATTTTTAAACATTTGTTTTAATCGATAAGTTATTTATAAAAAAAATAATGAACATTTATTTACAATCAGATTATTACGAGAACAATTTTAAAATGAAAAAAATGAAGCACGTCGTTTATACGTGGTAGAACCATGCAGTTATATTATAAGTATAGTTGTAGCACGAATGGGTCGGTTCGACCGGGGAAGGACCACGCTCTCACAGAATATCAATGTAAAATAGTAGCTTAATGATGCTGCATTTCGTATAGTGAGTGTAGAGAACCAGAGACACTTTTTAAAGGAAACGAGGCATTTCATCTTAGTCCTCACGGGTGACAACGTATCTGCATTTTGATTCGTAATCGAGGATAGATGTAGATGTCTATGGGCCACAGCAACCACTTACCATCAGGTGAACTGTGTGCTCGTTTGTCACCCCATCCTATATAAAAAAGCGTCGATTTCTTATAATTTAATCGTGCAAGTTTTCGGATCATCATCATCATTACAGCTCTTCACAAGTCCACTACTGAACATCCTCCTCCACAGACTGCCGCAAAGCAGGGTCCTGAGCCACTTTGCTCGTCATGAGTTTTTCATTTATGTTCTAAGTTATAATTAGTACCTATTATTAAGTCAGTGGTAATTATATTTATTGCTATTGTTTTTGTCTTTCTCAAAAAATAATTAAATTACCAAATAAATTATAAGGTGTTTTTTATATACATCAAATGTCTGATAGAAATGCAAGTACATATTTTGCTAAACTTTAAAATCAAAACCCAATTTTAAAACATAAACTAATCGATTATAACTCCTTTCATTTCAAAATAAGTTAAGTTCTTATTAATGGTATTTATTCCAGTTTATGATGCATGTAAAGAATAAATAAAGCTAATCGTATATCGTATATCTATTTACAACCCCATTAATATCCACTAATATTTTTTAATTCTTTTATAAAAACATTAACCCCGCTCTAGGATTTTTATTATTTTTAGGATTAGGACACAAATCCAGACCCGAAACAATTATTTTTAGGAAATACAAATACTTGTTCCGTGCGGGATCAAACCCGCGGCGCCCGGTGCAGCCACTCATTGCTGAGCCACTGCGCCACGGTGCTTATAAATTCGTCCGCACATTTGCCCGAACCGAAGTAAACTGAACGACCTTCCAACGTGTGGACGCCGTCACCAACTCTCGGCCAATATATTCGCCACTCCATTCGCCACTGTGTTGGCCAACGTGTAGAGGCGACTTTATAAGATTGTTATTAAGCCATTCAATTGTTAATAATTGAAAGTATTAAATTAAAAACAAAAAACATGAAAATGTTTTCGTTCTAATATTATTTCATTGTGACGTTTATAGAACAGTAAATGGAATTTAAGTTACTTACTAGTGTTAAGTGTAATTATGATGCTTGTGTTTTGTAACACAGTTTCACGGACTAGAATTTATTGGATTTTTGGCAAAAAATCGGGAGGTATTGACTTAATATTGAATATTGATGGTAGACCTTAGATTGGTGAAACATTATTTACACAAAAGCTTGGATACTTTCTTGGAAAAACCGATATCTAGCCCTGAATTGCTTGTCATCGATGGGTAACAACGGAATGAACTAACTGTTGCTTCAATACTGGCGTTATAATAGTAGTAATCTATTATTATTAGTTATATACCTTAGCCACTGCAAACATCTTCCAAGCGAAAAAAAAAGTGAAATAACCAATCACGTGCGTTAACGTTCTCACTATCGAATGCGAGTCAGTATTCGACGTCGATATCAACGACTTAATAAACTCGCACTCATGAATTGTGATTGCGATTATTGTCACTAGTTGGCGATATTACAAATCGCATTTTACAAAAGAATTCGCACTAGGCACGCTGTCATAGTAAAACAGAATAGTAGGCTTTCTTCTAAGAAATGTACCGAACGCCGCTAATATGTGTGTGCGTGCCGGACAGGCACGTGACAGTACGGATTCGTACACGTGAGCTACAGCACGCACAGAACGTGGCGCAGACACGTAATATAAGCGGGTGAAACCGCATGAAATATTTTAAAACGCAAAACAATTTTTGAAATTTTTGTGTCTGTTTTTCTGTTTGTTTCGGCTACATAGGCTGCACTAAAAGTATCGGGAATGGAATATTTCCACTGTTCCTGTCATATTAAAATCTTTTTAATTGAAAACTCCTTGGTTTTAAAAATCGAATACCATTTATTTATTTAAAAAAAGATTCTCGGTCTTGTCACAAGGTTTTGTCAAACTTGTTTAGTCGTTGATAAAATGGAATTGACTCGAGAATTGAGTGATTTATTATGACTTTCGAAGGTATTTAACACAAAAACAGTGTGTTGACCGGATGATTTCTGCATTTGGTGATGAAGCCCCATTCAAAACCACAATTTATCGCTGGTTTGCTGAATTTCAACGTGGACGTGTCAAGCTCAGTGATGATCCCCGTCAAGGTCGTCCAAAAACTGCAGTCACCCAAGAAAACGTTGATGCTGTGCGTAAGCTGATTGAGTGCATGATTCGTGAACGCACTACGCACCAAACGTCCCGTTACTATCAACACTATCTGGATGCTTGGCGGTCCACCACTGTACGTTTTGGAAGGAGTTTTCTTCTGCGTACGACCTCTCTGTGGAATAGTTTACCACCGGCAATTTTTCCGGACCGATGGACCTTCAAGAAAAGAGCTTACTCCTTTCTAAAGGGACATGTGACATACCGCGAAATTCAGGCAACTTTAGTAATTCAGACATTGGCATGAGTCAAATACAAATAAACTTGCATGAACAATTAGGTGTAAAAAAGTTGTTTTCCCGATGGATACCGCATTCGCTCTGTGAAGAGCAAAAAGCGGCTCGCGTTACTTGGTGCGTCAGAACTCTCGAAAGATTCCACGCAGGATCCTCAAATGCTGTATGCAACATCGTATCAGGTGACGAATCCTGGATATACGCGTACGAACCCGAAACAAAAAACCAGTCACACACAGTCGGTGTTTGAAAATGAGTTAAAGCCAACAAAAATTGTTCGTTCACGGACTGTTGCAAAAAAAATGGTGGCCACGTTTGTCTCCAAAACCGGCCATGTTACGACTATTCCTCTTGAGTGACAAAGAACAGTTAATGCAGAATGGTATGCTAGCATTTGTATGCCACAGGTCGTTACTGAGCTCCGTAAAGGTTGCTTCAATGATTGGTTATATCGTATGGAAAAATGTGTCAAATTTCGCGGAAAATACTTCGAAAAGCAATAAATACATTTTTAAATAGTAATGTTGTGTCACTTCCTTGATTCCCGAAATTTTCAGTGCCGCCCTCGTAATCTCCGAAATGGCTGAACCAATTTTGTGAGGACTTTCCCTGGCAGATAGGTGATGTTATAAGGAGTAACTTAGTATTATTTTCATTTTAGAAAAAGAATTGGGGTCGCAAAAAAATTAATTTCACGAGGACGAAGTCGCGGGGAACAGCTAGTGGCATATATTTTGTATAGGCAACGTCTGAACCATCCTTTATAATTACGTCACTAAAAATCTTACCTAGAGGACATAAATTGTATGACTTAGAGTTTCGTGCAGCTATTTTAAATTAACTGAACTATGTTTTACACGTGCAGGTGACACAACTATATTTTCCACGACTCATCGCATAAAGATAAAATGCCCTTGAAAGCTGTACGGTAAATGGACTGATGAGTTTAACTTACATAAATATTACCGTTCGAGCCTATCAAAAGTCAGTACTCACGTAATCAGGAAGACACTGGCTACCCATCTCCATTTCATTCCCCTCTGCTACCTTTTACATCACCCACGGGATACGGGTGGTGGATTGTTACGCCGCCATTACACGGCGAAAATAAATAAATAAAACTTAAAGAAACCTGAAGGGGTTAAAATATAACTGACCTCTCTAGCTAATCTGGCTTGGTCGCGATCCCTGGCCTGTGCGACGAGTGCAGCGCAGTGACGTAGCGCGGTCAGCGCCTCGGAGCCTGATCCGCACGCGTGTTGAAATCGCTACGTGCAGACAAACACACTCCTTATTTTACATATATTATAAATCTTTTGACGTGAATACGTCTTTAAATTTCTTTTTCTCATAGAATACCAGCGTAAAATGGCAGCTCAATGCTGCTCTGTTTCGTAGAGTGAGTGTAGAGAACCGGACTCTTTTTACTGGAAACGAAGCATTTCATCTTAATTCTCAGTGTTGGCAACCCATCTGCATTTTGATTCTAAATTAAGCATAGATGTCCATGGGCCACAGCATCCACATCATCAGGTAAACTATGTGCTAACCCTAACCCTAATTCTATAAAAAAAAATTGTGCGTATAATTGTGTACACACGTACGAAGTGAAACTTCTTTACGACATATTCTTATCTCATTTTATATTAGACATACGCACCGCCGGTGAAACGCTACAAGAAAACGTGACGTTTTTGCTTTTTAATACCGTAATAAATTTCTCCACTTCGTCGATAAAGAAGTTTCACTTCAAAACTTTCTTCCATAGTCGAAGGCAATTCAGAAAACTGATGATAACAAAATCAAGGTATACAGTTTGATGTAGCAGCTACATAACTATCATATGAATCCAAAATTTAATTACACAAGTCGATCAAAGATCAAAGAATTTGTTACGTTGACTGAAGACTGTGACGTATCACTCACGGTAGAAGGGAGAGCGCCGCCATTTTGTGGTGATTTCATTACGTACACTTATTTACATAAAACGTACGTCCGTGTCCACGACACAGTCACACATTTCTTAATTTTATTTTTAATATGATTCTTGATTCTCACAAAATGAAATTTATGTATAAAGGAAATCAAGTGACTTAGTGTGTATAATTGAAAATAAGATTTTACTAACATCCGGTTCCTTGAATTAAAAAACGTTTCGTCCCATTTTATTATATATGAGGTACCATGTAAAAACCAGTTTTGTAGTAAGCTGTACGGTATACGATTTAAAATTATAATAATTTCTCAAGCAAAATACATTGTACTACAATACACTATCTGGCTTGAAGGACCAAATATTTAATCAAGTAATTTTAATCACAAGATATTTCGAAATTTACACTATGAATAATTTATACTATGTTTTGTTATAAAACCTGTAATGACATTCGAAGTCAATAGTTCCGTTAAGATCGAAAGACCGCATAGACATCACCATCTTTGGAGATGTAGTTGATAAAGAGTTGAGTTTAAATACCAGCTATGAACGCCATTAAGAAGGCCGATATAACACGTCGTTATACAATTTTAATCAAGTTATTTGATAGCATTTGCTTACTATTATACTAATGATATGTGTCTTTACATTTTACACGCAAAAATCAACAAATACTAGAATTGAAATAAAACTACCTACTATTAAACTGTCGCAAATGTAGAATAGGTCATAAGGAGTAACGAAAAGTATTAAAATTAGACATGTGTCATTCATTAATTTCTGGTGACCGGATCATTCAAGTATTTATTCGTCATACATGCCGGGTCATTCAGATGGATTATTTCGGGCTTCAGTACTTTCTGATCTGTAAGACCCATTCGGACCCGCTCTCCTCTATGGTTCAGTATTTTGTTCTAATTTTCGTCGATTCGATCGCGAGCGCAGGTCATTCCATACCATAAAATATATAGTAATAAATTAACAATAAAAACGGTCTTTCGTTCAAACAAAAATAAATACGTTACCTATTTTACCGTTCAACAAATAAAAAATAATACTTAATTGGCAGTTTTCGTATTTCACAAACATGTGCCGTGGAAGACAAATTAGTTTCATCTTTTTTATTTTAGAAATAGTGATCGCATTTGATACAGTATTAACAAATGCATAAATAGTGTGTGCAGATCACATGCGGCAGAAGGTTTGTAATAGCGTCATCTACTTTCTTCCTTATGTAATGTCACTTTATTAAACAAAAATTAATTAACTCTCATGGTGGTACGTGAAAAAACGCTAGATGGCATAAACACAAAAAAATCATCAACCCTGAACATCCACAAGTCGAGTGGGCCCGACGGAATCCCCCCAATCGTGTTGAGGACGTGTGCTCCAGAGTTGGCGCCGGTCTTAACGCGTCTTTTCCGGTACTCCAACTCCGTAGGTGTGATCCCAAAATCATGGAAGACGGCTATCGTCCGCCCGATCCCTAAAAAAAGGCGACCGCTCAGACCCGTTCAACTACCGGCTCATCGCCATCACCTCCTTGTTCTCCAAAACAATGGAGTCTATTGTTAACTGCCAGCTCATGAGGTACCTTGAGGATCACCAGCTGATTAGTGACCGCCAATACGGTTTTCGCCGTGGTCGATCAGCTGGTGATCTTCTGGTCTATCTAAGTCATAGATGGGCGGAGGCAGTAGAGTCCAAGGGGGAGGCATTGGCCGTTAGTTTGGACAATGCGAAGGCCTTCGATCGGGTTTGGCACAAAGCGCTTCTTTCGAAGCTCCCTTCCTATGGGTTTCCCGAGAAATTGTGCGATTGGATCACCAGCTTTCTTGCAAATCGGAGCATCAAGGTCGTTGTAGAAGGTGCAAGCTCCGATTACAAGCCTATTAATGCTGGTGCTCCACAAGGCTGCATGCTGTCGCCAACGCTGTTTCTTCTGCATATCAATGATATGTTGCAAACCCGTAACATTCATTGCTATGCAGATGACAGCACTGGTGATGCTCTGTACACCGGCCGTGCCAATATTTCTCGGGAAAACGTCTCCGAGTACCGGGACAAACTTGTGTCTGAAGTCGAGTCTTTGCTGAACAGTCTCGGATTGGGGGCGACTAAATCTAGTCCAGTTTAACCCCCAGAAGACACAAGTTTGCGCGTTAACCGCTAAAAAGAACCCCTTTGTCGTATCTCCCCAGTTTCAAGGCACTCCGCTTGGTGCCTCAGCCAGTATCGGTATCCTTGGCGTCGACATATCGAGTGACGTGCAGTTTCATGGTCACTTGGAAGAGAAGGCCAAACTGGCCTTTAAAAAGCTTGGCGTGCTCAACAGAGCGGGACAGTATTTCATGCCAGCACACCGCCTGCAACTTTACACGGCGCAGGTTCGGCCGCACATGGAATACTGTTCCCATCTCTGGGCTGGGGCTCCCCAGTACTAGCTCCTTCCACTTGACCGCATCCAGCGCAGAGCGGCTCGAATCGTCGACGACCGAGTGCTTTCCGATTGGCTCGATTCACTTGCGCTGCGAAGAGATGTTGCATCTCTTTGCATTTTCTTTCGCATATACCATGGGGAGCGCTCTGAGGAATTGTTCGGATTAACCCCAGCCGCCAAATTTCGTGAACGCACTACGCGGCAAACGTCCCGATACCATCCACACCATCTGGATGCTTGGCGGTCCACCAGTGTACGTTGCACAAGGAGTTTTCTTCCGCGTACGACATCTCTATGGAATAGTTTACCACCGGCGATTTTTCCGGAGCGATACGACCTGGGGACCTTCAAGAAAAGAGCTTACTCCTTTCTAAAGGGCCGGCAACGCACCTGCAATTCCCCTGGTGTTGCGGTTGATCATGGGCGGAGGTAGTCACTTAACATCAGGTGAGCCGCATGCTCGTTTGCCCCCTCTTCTATAAAAAAAATCAACATAAATCAGTAAGTTATGAAATCGTATATTGTTATGAACGGATTGGACAAACAATAATTTTATTCAATATTAAATATATATTTTATGTATTTAATAAATTAGTTTTTTTTTCAGCGAGGTGCCCACGTGCGGGCTCTTGTCCAGCGCGGCAGAGCATCCAGCAGCGCCAGTTGCTCACCATGTAGGCAGAGTAGTGCAGCGAGGTGCCCACGTGCGGGCTCTTGTCCAGCGCGGCAGAGCATCCAGCAGCGCCAGTTGCTCACCATGTAGGCAGAGTGGTGCAGCGAGGTGCCCACTTGCGGGCTCTTGTCCAGCGCAGCAGAGCATCCAGCAGCGCCAGTTGCTCACCATGTAGGCAGAGTGGTGCAGCGAGGTGCCCACGTGCGGGCTCTTGTCCAGCGCGGCAGAGCATCCAGCAGCGCCAGTTGCTCACCATGTAGGCAGAGTGGTGCAGCGAGGTGCCCACTTGCGGGCTCTTTTCCAGCGCGGCAGAGCATCCAGCAGCGCCAGTTGCTCACCATGTAGCCAGAGTGGTGCAGCGAGGTGCCCACTTGCGGGCTCTTTTCCAGCGCGGCAGAGCATCCAGCAGCGCCAGTTGCTCACCATGTAGGCAGAGTGGTGCAGCGAGGTGCCCACGTGCGGACTCTTGTCCAGCGCGGCAGAGCATCCAGCAGCGCCAGTTGCTCACCCTGTAGGCAGAGTGGTGCGGCGAGGTGCCCACTTGCGGGCTCTTTTCCAGCGCGGCAAAGCATCCGGCAGCGCCAGTTGCTCACCATGTAGGCAGAGTGGTGCAGCGAGGTGCCCACTTGCGGGCTCTTTTCCAGCGCGGCAGAGCATCCAGCAGCGCCAGTTGCTCACCATGTAGGCAGAGTGGTGCGGCGAGGTGCCCACGTGCGGACTCTTTTCCAGCACGGCAGAGCATCCAGCAGCGCCAGTTGCTCACCCTGTAGGCAGAGTGGTGCGGCGAGGTGCCCACGTGCGGACTCTTGTCCAGCGCGGCAGAGCATCCAGCAGCGCCAGTTGCTCACCATGTAGGCAGAGTGGTGCAGCGAGGTGCCCACGTGCGGGCTCTTGTCCAGCGCGGCAGAGCATCCAGCAGCGCCAGTTGCTCACCATGTAGGCAGAGTGGTGCAGCGAGGTGCCCACGTGCGGGCTCTTGTCCAGCGCGGCAGAGCATCCAGCAGCGCCAGTTGCTCACCATGTAGGCAGAGTGGTGCGGCGAGGTGCCCACTTGCGGGCCTTTTTCCAGCGCGGCAGAGCATCCAGCAGCGCCAGTTGCTCACCCTGTAGGCAGAGTGGTGCGGCGAGGTGCCCACGTGCGGACGCTTGTCCAGCGCGGCAGAGCATCCAGCAGCGCCAGTTGCTCACCATGTAGGCAGAGTGGTGCGGCGAGGTGCCCACGTGCGGGCTCTTGTCCAGCGCGGCAGAGCATCCAGCAGCGCCAGTTGCTCACCATGTAGGCAGAGTGGTGCAGCGAGGTGCCCACGTGCGGACTCATGTCCAGCGCGGCAGAGCATCCAGCAGCGCCAGTTGCTCACCATTTAGGCAGAGTGGTGCAGCGAGGTGCCCACGTGCGGGCTATTTCCAGCGCGGCAGGGCATCCAGAAGCGCCAGTTGCTCACCATGTAGGGAGAGTGGTGCAGCGAGGTGCCTACGTACGGGCTCTTGTCCAGCGCGGCACAGCATCCAGCAGCGCCAGTTGCTCACCATGTAGGCAGAGTGGTGGAGCGAGGTGCCCACGTGCGGGCTTTTGTCCAGCGCGGCCACGATGGCGGCGCACTCGCGCAGCTGCGTGTCCAGCAGCGCCAGGCTGTTAGTCGCCGCAGTCAGAGCGTCTTGCATCGAACCTGGGAAATTCATTATCAACGTTGTAAATCTGCGTGAATGCGTTGGACACTTGCCTTTTAAAGCTTTTTAAAAGTATTGCCAATGAGTTGAAATTAAAAATGTACACAAACTTTCATAAATCCTGTCCTTATTACTTATTTTTATGAGTAGATTTTTTTATTTTATTAAGAATTAGAATATCTGTAAGAATTTAAAATGATTAAGAAAATTATTAATCAATATGAGTAATCAAGAATTAGTGAATGGTAAACTATTAAATATAAGCCTTTCTCAATGAAGAGGAATCACTGGAATCGCCACATTGCCATTCGGGTTGGGGCTTGCTTAGATGATGCACACAATAATTACCTATCTGGATTTTAACAACAATCGCATACGAGTTTTTACGCCATCTATAACTAATTCATAAGTACATCCTTATTATTTCGAGAATCACAACTACCCCAACGGGGAATATGGAAGGATGGATACGATTACGCCACCGTCATGGAGTGTGACTACAATGGAAAAGAAAATGACTACCACTAACCCAGAGGTTTGCACTCGTCGTCCAGTTCCTCGGTGGCCTCCTTGGCAGTGTCAGGTCCAGCGCCGGCCCACAGGTAGTGTCCGGAGTACGCAATGTGCTCATTAAACGCAGTAACCCAAGACTGCAAACAATACAAGGCGAATTATATGATTATATATCTTCTTATCATAAGAGATTTCGTATGATAAGAAGTTTATTGCAATTACTCATAATTTTGACTTTTAATACACATTAAAAATCAAAATTATGATTAAGATGAAATGCCTCGTTTTCTATAAAATGGGGATTTCACTTATTCTACGTATTTATTCGTACTTATTTCCAGTATGCTATCGTATCCCGGTCGAGGTGGTAAATTTGTGAGTCATGATACGCGGCAGCCACTATCACATTTATAGTGTAGCAAGTACAAAGTGTACATATATTACCTATAAAATGTGTAGTGTAGCATGTATAAAATCTACCACGTACATAGTGTACGTGTAAAGTATAAGTATGAAGAATAAAATATACAAAGTGTATGAGGTACAACGTGTAGCATGAACAAAATATACCGTGTAACATATAGAAAGTTTAGCAAGTACAAGCGACTTTGTACGTAATGCAGCATGTATATACTAATAGCAAAGTGTATCGCATAGAAAGTGTACCATGTACAAAGTTTGAAAAAGTTCAGTGTATCACATACCAAGTGTATCACGAACAAAGTGTACAGTCATGTATCATATTTAAAGTGCAGCATGCACAAAGTGTATAATATAAAAAGTAACATACACAAAATTTACCACGCACAAAGTTTAGCAACGTACAAAGTATAGCATGTTCAGAGTGTATCACGCACAAAGTGCACGACGCACAACGTGCATCACGCACAAAGTGGACCACGCACAAAGTGCACCACGCACAAAGTGCACCACGTACAAAGTGTACACGGTGCAGCGCGTACCTGCCTGGCTGCGGCGAGGTCTGGCCCTGCGGGCACGGCCAGGCGGTGCGTGTCGCCGTCGCTGAAGGCCAGGCGCAGCAGCGCGGGCTCGGCGGCGGGCGCGCTCAGCTGCGCGCCGTCCAGATACTTGCGCGCGCGCCCCGCCCCACGCGCTGCGCCCGCCTCACCCCGCGACCCGTAGTAGATCAGCACGCCGCGCTGCAGCACCGCCTGCACACCACACCATACAATGCTATACCACACAATCATTTATATTCGTTATCGTGGAATTTATTACTATGTATATTTTATGGGTTTTTTCCTCTGTCCTCTACGACTCAGATGGTACTATGGCATATAGGACCAGGAAGACTAGTACTTATGGATATTTTTTAACTGCGCTCGAGACCTCTGCATTAAAAACACAAGACGATAATTGAAATAAAATTTATATATATATATATATATATATATATATATATATATATATATATATATATATTTTATAGAAGAAACAGCGTTGGCGACAGCATGCAGCCTTGTGGAGCACCAGCATTAATAGGCTTGTAATCGGAGCTTGCACCGTCTACAACGACCTTGATGCTCCGATCTGCAAGAAAGCTGGTGATCCAATGGCACAATTTCTCGGGAAACCCATAGGAAGGGAGCTTCGAAAGAAGCGCTTTGTGCCAAACCCGATCGAATGCCTTCGCAATGTCCAAACTAACGGCCAATGCCTCCCCCTTGGACTCTACTGCCTCCGCCCATCTATGACTTAGATAGACCAGAAGATCACCAGCTGATCGACCACGGCGAAAACCGTATTGGCGGTCACTAATCAGCTGGTGATCCTCAAGGTACCTCATGAGCTGGCAGTTAACAATAGACAGATATATATATACATGTGTGTGTGTGTGTGTGTGTGTGTGTGTGTGTGTGTGTGTGTGTAACCAACCCAAACAGGCCTCCAGCCCAGAAACCTCGACTTCTTGAGCAGCGGGCCCTCGAATCTGGCAGCTGTGCGTTGCAATTTCTGTACCGGCCTCACGCTCAGCACCTCTCGCATATCACTGTCCTTTGCTAAATCTATCGCTAATTGTCCTGTTGAGAAAAACATCGAATATGTAATTAGAACATCATTTCACCACTAGATGAATTATAAGTTACTACACAAGTCCCAACCATTCAAACCAAAAAAGAACGATAAATCAATATACAAAACAATAAGCATCAAGTTTTCATTACTTTGCATGGCTTTGTCTCATCTGTCAGATCGGGCACTTTTACACTAGCCGACACCGACCTTACTCCGACACGATCTTTTTTTATAGAATATGGGTGACAAACGAGCACACAGTCCACCTGATGATAAGTGGATGCTGTAAGGCTGTAGACATCAACATCTATCCTCGATTAAGAATCAAAATGCAGATGCGTTGCCATCCCTGAGGACTAAGATGAAATGCCTCGTTTCCTATAAAAAGGGTCGCCGGTTCTCTACTCACCATACGAAACAGGACAGTAGCATGGAACTGCTATTTTACGCTGGTATACTATGAGATTGTAAAGCTTCCCCGATCGAGCTGACGTATTCGTGCTACAACCTTAATATAACTGAGGCATGTGTCCACTACGTAAAAATATATCAGCGTATATTTATTGCTAAACGCTTTTATGTTTACGCCGGCATTACACGGTACTAGCTGTTACCCGCGGCTTCACCCGCATGGTCACTGGGAAATGAACTATCCATTGCTTTCTGAATTGAAAGAAAACTGAGTTTTATAGATTTGTCAGAGATGCAGCCATTAAAAGGAAACTGAGCAAAATTGATTCGTCAGCCTATTCCTGATCGGGGCCGTGAGGAGATGCTGGAGACTCTCAACAGAGATCCGTGGGGGCGCCCCTACAAGATGGTGCGGGATAAACTCCGCACCTGGGCCCCCCCGCTGACGCAAAGTCTCCGGCCCCAGCTCGTGGAGGACGTGGTGAGCGCTCTGTTCCCTACGCGAGGGGAACATCCGCCCCCGCCTATGGCTCCGCCACCTGCGGTGCCGGAAGCGGACCACCAGGACGACGACGACGACATCCCGGAAGGGACCGGGGTAGACCTGAGAGTGGCGGTACGTAGGCTCAAGGCCAGGAATACCGCCCCAGGACCCGATGGCTTGCCTGGCAAAGCCTGGGTCCTGGCCTCGGAGGCTCTCGGGCCCCGACTGGAGGGGCTCCTAAGCGCATGCTTGGAGAGAGGCCAATTCCCGCTTCGTTGGAAGATGGGGAAGCTGGTCCTCATTCGGAAGCCGGGGCGCCCTGCGGACTCTCCGTCCGCATACCGGCCCGTGGTGCTGCTCGACGAGGTGGGCAAGCTCTTTGAAAGAGTCATTGCAAACCGCCTCGCCGAGCACTTTGCGGGGACGGGGCCGGATCTTGCGGAACACCAGTTTGGTTTCCGCAAGAGGCGCTCTACGGTGGACGCCATCATGCGCGTGAGAGCCCTCACGACGGGGTATGCAGTGGCCAGAGGGGGGGTTGTCTTGGCGGTGTCTCTCGATATCGCCAACGCCTTCAACTCCATGCCCTGGAGCTGCAATAGTGAGGCACTCCGGTATCACCGGGTGCCGACCTATCTCCGTCGTATAGTCGGGGACTACCTGACGGACAGGGCCGTCATCTACCCCGGTCGCAACGGTGAGTGGAACCGGCGAGAGATGTCGTGCGGTGTCCCACAGGGTTCGGTTCTGGGGCCACCTCTGTGGAACATCGGTTACGACTGGGTGCTGCGCGCCGACCTCCCTACCGGCGTCAGCGTAGTTTGCTACGCTGACGACACGCTGGTACTGGCACAAGGGGGGTCGTACGAGGCGGCGGCGGAAACTATGACACGCGGGGTTGCGATAGTCGTTGAGAGGATTCGGCAACTGGGTCTCGAGGTGGCTCTGCACAAGTCCGAGGCCATGCACTTCCATGGTCCTCGGAACAGGCCACCACCAGGATCCTCAGTGATGGTAGGAGGGGTATCCATCGGCGTCGAGTCGACGCTGAAGTACCTAGGACTCGTCCTCGACGGCCGATGGAACTTCGTTGAGCACTTCCGACGTTTGGCTCCTAAACTGGAACGGACCGGGGCTGCCTTCAGGCGGCTCCTGCCGAACCTGGGGGGGGCCAAACGCCTCCTGCCGGAGGCTCTACGCGGGGATCGTGCGATCCATGGCCCTTTACGGGGCCCCGGTGTGGGCGCGTGGTTTGGCGCGGCTTGCCGTCCACCACCTGAACGCGCCCCAAAGGGTGGTCGCCGTGAAAATGGTTCGCGGCTACCGCACGATCTCCCGCGAGGCGGCGAGCCTCCTTGCCGGATTGCCGCCATGGGATCTGGAGGCGGTAGTCCTCGCACGCCTGCACGAATGGCGCGCGGAGGCACTATGCCGAGGGGAAACCCCGCTGCCGCGGCAAGTTGTCGCGCAGCGGATAGACTTCCGGCACGATCTCATGGCGACATGGAGAGAGCGACTGTCGCAACCCCGTGCTGGGCACGCCACTATAGCGGCGATAAGACCCTTCTTCGAGGAGTGGCTTGAGAGACGCCACGGCATCCTCACCTTCCGCCTGACGCAGGTCCTCACCGGACACGGTGTGTTCGGGAGGTTCCTGCACCGAATCGGGCGGGAGGAAACGCCCGGGTGCTCCCACTGCGAGGATGGACCGGAGGACACGGTGGAACACACCGTAGAGGTGTGCCCTGCTTGGGCGTAGCACCGCCGTGTCCTCGTAGCGGCGATAGGCGGCGGCGACCTCTCGCGTCCGGCCCTGGTCGAAGCCATGGTCCGGAGCGAGACGGAATGGGATGCCGTCACCACCTTCTGCGAAGCAGTGATGCTAGCGAAGGAGGTGGCGGAGCGGGAGAAGGAAAGAGCAGCAGCTTTCCTCCCCGGCCGCCGCGGGAGACGCCCCGGGCGTCTGGGGCTACGTCGTGGCCCCCCGGCCACCGTAGGCGCGGGCCTGTGGACGGCGAGCAATGGGTAGCTCGCCGTCCGTCCGTCTAACGACGACAGGCCGCGTCGACGGCGCGTTTTGTTCCACGCGCGCCTCAAAGAGCTGTCAGCAGCGTGAGGGGCCCGTAAGGGCCAACGCCTGCCGGGGCTGCGGGCTGTTCGAAAGAGATACCGCGGCTCCGGAATTTAAGGGCACTGAAGGAACACGGATGGTTTTTAGTCAGTAAAAGTCTGACACTCCCTTACGCTCCACCCAGAGCGAAAGGGGTCATTAGATGATTTTCCATCCGCAAAAAAAAAAGCCTATTTAAATGTTTTGAAACGCAGCGAAGCTAGCGAATGCTAGGAAAGCATGAAAATAGCCTGTTTATTCCAAATGGAAATGGGATATTTTTTAATTAAAGGAAACTGAGCATAATTATCCGTCAGGGATGCAAACTTTTGAAAAGAAACTGAGCTAAATTGATTCGTCAGATGCCGTTTTCTGAATTGAAAGGAAACTAAGCCAAATAAAAGATCCGTCAGAGATGCAACCTTTTGAGTTGAAAGGAAACTGAGCTTAATAGGTCCGTCAGAGGTGCATAATTTGGAATTGAAAAGAAACTGAGCTAAATAGGAAATTTTTTATTGAAAGGGAAGATCTGTGGGTATTCTGATTAATTGATTGTGGGAATTTTGGAAAAACTAACTGAACACTATTTTAAGACGCTAATGTACACAATGTTATATGTTTTTCCATTCGGGGAAAGAATGTGGTGATTCTGGGCACTTGACACACGTGAACATGCTACATACAGCTGACCATGAGAGAAGCACGGTTTTTCTAAGTTGACCCTCGCTACCTGTAACGTTTGCCCTTGCGCTTTATTAATTGTCATTGCAAAACTGAGCTTAATAGGGAACTGCAACCTTTTGAATTGAAAAGGAAGATCTTTGGGAATTATAGGGATCCGTGGTATAATAACATTTTCACCTTTTCCTACGCCTGTCAAAATTATAGCACCGATTACGTTCCGTCCAAGATGTGTTACACGCAGCCTTGTCCCGTTACATAACCGAGGAGCATCTAAATTTCGCATTAGCGTGACTAGGACGCCTAATTTTAATTGAAGCTTATGTGAGGGCACACCTGACAACTCTAGAGAATTTAGAAACTCTACGGGATATGAAGTGCTCTGTTCTGTGTCCATAACTGTGTCTACTGACAAATACTCTGTTATTTCTCCTGCTACTTCGCTTAATATATCTGAATTTCTTTTGTTAACGCTCTCATTTTTTGGTGCAAGAATCGCCCTTTCACATAACCATTTGTCTTCATGCATGTTGTTCGTTAAATCTGAATAAACGCTCGCAATTAATTCGGAATGACTCTGTACTAAATTACAAAAATCTCTCGTCAATTTAACGCAGCCCTCAGCATCCGTTTCCAACCGCCCATCGCCAATTTTTAATAGTGTATCAGCATAGTTTCCAGCATTGATATCATTATACAAATGCACTCCCATATTCGTAGTTGAACCAAATTTTGTCACCTTGTTCCATAAAATAGACGACTTGAGGCATGCTTTAATTTCATCTGCAGGTGTGCCCTTTTGAATGACAGGTAAAGTTTGGCGAAAGTCACCAGCCAGTAAAACCACCATTCCTCCCATTACATCGGTATTGCTGCGCAAATCCTGGAGCGTTCGATTTAGTGCTTCTACAGCTTTTTTATGCGACATTGTACTTTCGTCCCACACTAAAAGTTTGCATTGTCGTAGCAATATACCTCGTGCACTATTTTTGCTAAAGTTGCAGATCGGCGATTCTTCATGGGCTAGATTTAGAGGGAGTTTTAAAACAGAATGTGCAGTGCGGCCCCCGCTTAGCAGCGTGGCGGCTATACCGGAGGAAGCTACGGCCACAGCAATGTTTTTATCTTTCCTTACTTGCGCTAATAATAAATTTAACAAAAATGTGATCCCAGTTCCTCCAGGGGCATCTAAAAAGAAAAGTGCACCATTTCCAGATTCAATTTATCCTAATACTTTGTCAAAAACTCGTTTTTGTTTGGGAAGCAAGCGGGGTACAAATTCGGCTACTTGCTGCTGAAAAGCTGGTATATCGTAGTTT